TCTATCGATGAGATTTTGAATGCCAACAATTGTATAGAAATCACATCCATCTAGTATGTTAACAATGTAGTCTTTGTCCTTTCCGATAAAGAAACAAGCAATGTGGAGGAATAAATTTCGGTCATGGTCATCTTGCAAAGAGTCATAGCTTACTCTTAGTTTATTTACTATTTCACCATTTGGAATGGCTTCTAACTTCTCCAGTGCACTTTTCCATACATCTATACTATCCCCCAAGTACATAGAAGAACCTAAAACTTCAAGAGCTAATGGAAGTCCTCCGCAATGACCCACTATTTTTTGCGAATATTCTATGTAACCTTCAAAGGGATGGTCCTGACCAAAAGCGTGCCAACTAAAAAGCTCCAATGATTCCTTGGAATTCAAAGTTTCAACTTCATGCACCTTAGTAACTTGATGAGCCCTTAACAATCTTGCATGCCTAGTTGTTATTATGATTTTACTTCCTGGATAAAACTGATCTTTCATCTGAAATACTGCATCTAATTGATCCATACGATCCACATCATCGAGAACAAGGAGAACCTTCCGCATCTTCAATCTTAGTTAATCCTTCACTAACATTGCTTATTTTCATTTTTCTCCCATTCAAAATATCAGAAAGAAGCTGTGTTTGTATTTGAACTAAGCCATTGGGTTGCTGCGAAACTTCTTTTATGTTTTCGAGGAAGCTGCTTCCGTCAAACCTTTCATAGTTTGAATTATAAACAAACTTTGCAATGGTTGTCTTCCCTATTCCACTCATGCCATAAATTACAAATATGCCAACATCATCTGATTCATCTTGTAACCATAAATTAAGTTTGTGGACTTGAGAATGCATTCCGATCATGATGTGGGGAACACTTAGGGGTCTACGCCTTAGTTTTTCTCCTATCACTTGAACAATCTTGTTGATAAACTTTGACTCGTGTCTGAAAAGTTGCAATCCAAATGAAAAAAATATACAAACATCCTTGCAATAGTACAATCCGTCTAATTAATTATTGGACTTCAACTCTATTGTGAGAAGTTTTAAAATACGCCTGTATTAAAGTAGAAATAATTATTAAAGTAGAAATAATTATTCTCCCGTTGAAAAAAAAAAAAAAAAATCGATAGTAGAATTATCCTTAATTTTTTATTTTATTTATTTTAAGGATAGTAGAATATTCTTACTGTTAAGTTTATATTGAGGAAGATACATTTTAAAGTAAAACAAGCCATCCAAAAATTCAGAAATATTATATGAAATCTCCATTAACACACCTTAAAAAGTGAGTCCATTTTCAGTATTTTAACTTTAGAAAGAGACTTACAGATAAAAGAAATTACCCATCAGCTTGATTTTGTAAGACCATCCCTGCCAGATCTGCAACCTCTGCAAGTGCCTCCCTCCATTCCTTCACTTTGTTCGACGGTTGGGTTTTTTGGTGTCTAGCAAATGCCTCCGCAAGACCTCCTTTCTGCTTCCGCAAGTCGGATGGATCCACGTCGTAGAAGACAGGTAAAACGACATGGTCAGCTGAGATCCTCTTGCGTTCAAGGATCATGACGAGCTCGTCAAGGCACCATCTGGACCACGCGTAGTTTTTCGAGAACACAATAACAGAAGTTCGTGAGTGTTTGATTGCTTTCTGCAGTTCGGGCTTGATACCTTCTCCTCTCTTGACTTCATCGTCGTCTCGGAAAGTGCGAAATCCGGCTTTGACAAGGGCCGTGTAGAGGTGGTCAGTGAAAGTCTTGCGAGTGTCTTGGCCTCTGAAACTCAAGAACACGTGATAACGACAATATCGAGAAGTACTGGAAACAGAGGAGGTTTGTGGATCGGCTGCTCTCACAAGTGCCATGGAGGTTTGTGAACAAGTAAACTGCCTGGATGGATTGTATAATAAACAAGCAGATTGTGAATGACCAAATGAAAGCAATTATTTTGAGTCAAGTAAATGAAATCATTATGTTTTTTTTTTCTTTCTTTTAGATAAAAAAGGGAGAAAGTGACAAAAGCAATCCAACTAGTGGCAGCTTTATTTGTGTCTTTTCAGAAGATACGGCCCCTTGAAATGAAAAGTGAGTAATGTCATGACAAATTCTGGGTACACACCATGCCATTGCCAGGAAACTTCTGCCTAGTATCACTTCGATCTTGCGGGATCCAAATTTTATGCTCCAATAAACTATGGGCTAGTTGCGATTTTGAAATTAAAATTAGTTCTCATCTTGTATGTATTATTCCTCGATTTGTTATGGGTTCCCTTGTTTGTTTGGGCCTTTGGTTTTCTTGTCTGAAACTCAGGAACACGTCATAATGAAAATACCGACAAGTTTAAGAAGAGGAGGTTTTCCGAGCTGCTCTCACAAGTGCCATGGATGAGGTGTTGTGAACAAATACACTGTCTGCGTGGAAATATCGACAAGTAGATGGCATGTGATGTGTTTTGTTATGGGACCTACCTTTGACTTTGTTGGCTTGACAAGTGCTTTCGGTGGTATTATCTTTTGAGTGATAAAATTATGTGCATGGGATAATGTGTTCCCTGGGAGCGGATCGGCTGTCCCAAAATTACATGCACCCTTGTCTTTCCTATCTAATTGTTTGACACATGTCCACCCACTTAACCCTGAATTAACTCCGTTAACTTAATAAAATTTAGAAAGAAAAAACTCTTCCCCTTCCCTGACCCCCTCCCTCAACCACAAAATCACCATCACGAAGGAAAATCATATACCAGTACACAATCCCAGAAACCGAATTTATCCTTCTTCCCCTTCCCTGACCTCCTCCCTCTCAGCAGCACCCACCTCTTCCCGTCCTTGTGATTTCTTCAAAATGCGAACTACCTCAAGACCCTTCAATTCATTCAATAAAATTATCAAATCACCGATTCAAGCCTTTATTTTTGGGTGCATGAATCCTAGAAACCCAATTGAAAGACTAACAATATTGAAACCCTTCCAATTATAAAACCCAAATTTGAGGGGGGATCGGGAAGAAGAGGAGGAGGTGGTAGTGGAAGAGAAGTGGGCAAGAGGGTGGAGGTTGTGTGTGGCTTAGGTGAGGGGGCTGGAACCAGCGAGGTTTGGGGCTGTCGAGGTTGGGTACTTTGTGACTGCTGTTTTTTTTGTTTAGGATTTAATTTTTTAAAATTTTTAATTTATTGAAAATTAACAGTGTTATTATTATGATTAAGTGGGTGAACACGTGTCAACAAATTATACAAGGGACACGAAGAGACATGGAAAAATAGGGACAGTGGATCCCCTCCCGTATTCCCTTGGCTCCATGGGCAGCAGCCGAAAGCGAGATGAAAAAGAAGAAGAAATCATGGTGCCTAAACAATGTATAGTTTTAGACATTATTTTATGGGAGTGTCCAATTGATTGGTGACATGTGTGCTACAACATTTGTGAAAGACTTTTGGGTTCTTTGTTTGTCCGTTCAAGCCGTCCACTTTGAGAAATAATTGGTTTCTCTCTTTGTTTAATAATTGATACAAGCGTTACTAAGAGAATTTGAACACATGATCTAGAATTGGATTTAATGCGATGTTTAATAATGAGTGTTGCTAAACGAACCCTAAAATTAACTGAGTGCACCCTATGATCTAAGTACACCTTAATATTTTAATTAAAATATAAAATTAACTAAGTACACCCTATTTAACTATCAAAAATACCTCTGATACACCTATACACTCTATCACACACACAATACCTTAATACCAATCATAAACCAAATTTCTCTTTTTACATGAATTTGTGCCCTATATTTATATTTATAAATGTATTGAATTTATAGACACACACATTGAACTTATTATTTGATTTCACAAGTTATATGAAGGAATTTTCATGGGCCCTCAACATATTATTTGGATCTAAACCAGAAAAGCTATAAAGGCATTTCCGATGTTTGTAGCAAGTCTGTAGCGTACCCACATGGTCATGGATCTCTTCAAATCATCAATATTAAACAACCCAGAAATTGCTCCCTTTGAAGAACAAATTAAAACCAATTTCCAGAGAAAGGTTACAAAACATTGTGGGCAATGAAGAACAAATCAAGACAGTATAACCCATTTGATAACAAAATCAAAATGAGATTTACCAATATCAGAGGACCATAACGCCAGTATAATGGTACGATGACGGCATTTTTGTAATGGTGGAGAAGCGAATGCGACGACGGTGTTAGTGTGACGGTGGAGGAGACGATGTTATGAAGGAGGCGTTATGTCGGTGGAGAAGATGACAACGGTGTTTGGGATTTAGGATTTAGGGTTCATAATTCAATATATCCTTTTTGGTCATTTTATATTAGGGTAAATTAGTAATTCAATAAATAATTTGATAGTAGGGTGTACTCAGTTAATTTTAGGGTTCATTTAGCAGCACTCTTAATAATTGATACAAGCGCTGCATCTACTTCTCATTTGTCCATTCCTTTTTTTTTAATTTTTAAACTTTTTGCGCGACGACACAAATTTGTTCCCTCCATGTTTTTCTGAGGTCATCTCTTGTTTTTTTAATCTATTCCAGCTAAGTACATCAATTTATTATTATTATTATTTTTTGCACTGTTATATATAGGAATTTGTTAATTAATTATGTCGACTCCACGTTGGCAGACCCCATGCAATGTTACAGTTTACGGAACATCAAATTAATAGAAAATTAAGATCCTTTCCAATTGCAGAATATCAGTGAACAAGTTGCCAGATATTCAACAGGAATGAATTTTCCTTTCCAATTGCAGAATATCAGTGAACAAGTTGCTTCTTATATGAGAGATCCAAGCAGAATGGTTAAGCAGATGCAGATGAGGCGATCGGCAATTGGTGTATTTATAAATCTTCCCTCTAAATTGAGTTCCCAAGGTTGCATGGGCATGCTCAGACAGAATTGTGCTTCATTTATAACATCATAACAAGATAGGTTTTTCTTAATTTTGTACATCTAGTAATTAATACCTGACATATGGATGGGCAGGTTCCTGAGGGGGAGAATACTCCAAAGGGAGAGGTAATCCTACTCTTCTGAATATAATTGGCTTCACTAATGCTATGCTAATTTGAGGACCCATCTGTAGATTACATCGCAATTTAATGTCCCATGGATTTTAAATTTTTCCCATGTCGCAAATGAGGTACACATCTATTGTGTTGGATGGGTGCCAGTTTATAAATTGTTTGAACAATTTTTGGGTTGTTTGGGGTGTTTTCTTCAATTTTCTTCACATGGCCCCAGTTCTACTTCATGAGTTTGTTCCTTTGACTGCTATATACGAATGAACCATGCCATCTGTGTGTGTGAGGGCTGTTAGTTTTTTTAGTACTCATCATGCGTCATTAGCCTTAATTGTATCTTTTAATTAATATTTTGCTTCGTTTGCCACTTTGATGTGCTTGTGAGGTTTGCATTAATTTCCTCCTTGATTTGTCATGAAAGTTATGTTTCTATTTGCACAAATTGATTAATTTTATTCCTTTACTCTGTTAGGAGACACAATGTGATGCTGGTGCACAAGCTGATGGCGACCCAGAACTTTTAGACGACTCCGAGTTTTACCAGCAATTACTGAAAGAATTTTTTGAGACAATTGACCCAGCATCTTCTGGTAAAACTATTGGGGCATCCCATACTTCATACATGAATCTTTTAAATGTGCGCTTATATGGTTATACTCAATCTTTAAGAGTTCCTGTAGTTCAAAACAACAAATGCAATCAAATTGCATTGAAAAATTCTTGCATTTTCAATTGTTTAATATTGTATCTCCCCAAGTGGTCAAAGTCAATAAGGTCACTGCATTTTCTCTGTTATGGTGGGTTTGGAACTTAGTCGATCCTCAACTCTATTATTCAAGTTGCTAGAACGTTCAAAATGGAGCGGTCTGGCATAGTTGTTTCCTGTTATTGCCAGCATATTATTTAATGATTCTGATTTTCCACTATTTGGTTATCCACAGAGACGGCCTTTTATTCTCTGAAAAAGTTGCATACTAAGAAGAGGAAGATTGTGGACAGACGAGCCTCTAAGAGTCGCAAGATAAGGTATCAGTATAGGTTAATTCTTTGCTTCCCTATGTGGACCTGCTATGATTTGTTTTGGAAATTAATAAATATGCTTTTGCAGGTATAATGTTCACGAGAAGATAGTAAATTTCATGGCTCCGGAGCCTATGACCCTTCCAACTATGGTTCCAGACCTCAATAATTTGTTTGGGTTGAAGAACCAGAAACGAGCTTCTGTATTATAGTGTATAGGCCTTTGAATCCAGGCTCTGAAATTTTGTCTGTTATTTAAATGATTTGAGTATGTTGTCCTGATATTTCTGTAATCCATTCCATACCAATTTTTGTAATGTTAGCCTCGTCTTCTGAACGCATAGCTTTGTTGTAAATCACAGTGAAGATCTGAATTGGACGGTTGCCAATTATTGGTTCAATAGAAGATGTATTTGATGCTATGAAACGAATAGGTCTTGGGAAGACATTGGATGTATATATATATAAAGGGAGAGAGAGAAATTCTGAGATTTTTTAAGCCTAAGTATTTCAAATACGTAATTTTTTCTCTCTCTAAATGAGAGTTTCTCTCTCTAAAATGGGAGCTCCCTCACCCCAGTGTGAGAAAAACTTTCGAAGTCAAAATCTGGCTTGGGAAATCCGAGCAAACTCGCCAAACAAGAAGTGGGCTAGAGTAAAAAAGGAAATCAACTTGTACGGGAAGAAATCCAAATTTGGAGGGCAGGTCTCTGACTTTTGTAGATCTGGGGTGGAAAAGTCGGTGGGAGGAGTAAATACTATCCAACCACCGGTTCCAAGAGGAGTAATGGGGAGGCTTGGCTCTCTAAAGTTGACTCTTTGGGGAGTTTTTCTAGTCATCTGTTATCAACGTTCGGGCCATTTCTCCCATCAAGAAAACAAACACTCTCTTTGCCCCTGGAGCCCACTCACAAAACAAGCTGCTTTTAAAATTTTGCCTTCCCAGAAACAAAATACTACGAGCCTGCAAACAAACACCACAAAGAAATACCTATCTCCTGTTTTATGTGTTGAAGGCTGGTGGTACAAAATGGCTGAAGCTCGTACGGAAGATCTGGTAATAAGGTTGGAGGAATCGCTGGGCATATCAAATTTAGAAAGTGGTCCGAAATTGGCAGGAGCAATCATAGCAGGGAAAATTCCAAACAGAGGAGCAATAAAGACAATCCTTCAGAATGCATGGGCTCTCTTCGGAGAAGCAAAAATTTCTTATATTAAGGAAAATCTTTTCACTGTGGTGGTGCAAGATGAAGATATGGCTGATCATATTATAAAGGAAGGTCCCTGGTCTGTAATGGGCTTCTGTTTCAATGTTCAACGCTGGCCAAGCAACATGGCCATTGAGGAACTGCCTCTCCACAAGGTGCCTTACTGGATCCAAGCCCATGGGATCCCTTTGAATTTACTCACTACAGGGAACGCTCTAGAGATTGGTGAAAAGCTGGGAGAGGTAAAGGAAGTTGAAGACCCTTGGGAGAAAGTTTCAAGAGGCTTCTTGCGAATGAGAGTCATGATTGATTCAAACAATCCCCTCCCTCAAGGATTCTGGCTACCTCGGGCGGAAGGACAGGGGACATGGGTGGAATTCAAATTTGAGAAACTGTCAGATTTCTGTTTCAACTGTGGTAAGCTTGGTCATCTTCAGAGGAATTGCAGCTCCAATAATGGCCAATCGGAGAACTCTGAACCCACAGCCTATGGTGAATGGATGAAAACCAGAGCAATCCGTGACAGCAGAGCTCCAATCAACACACAAGCTCCGAGAGGAGTTCGGAGGAGAGCAGGACAAATAGGAGTGGTTAACCCAGGTGTCCTGGTGGCGCGTGTAGGCCAATCTGGAGATGAATGTAGTGGTATATCCCAAGTCACAAAACCAGCAACCCGTACAAATCAAGAAGCCTTGGAAAATGAGTTGATACAACAGGACGAGCTACATCGTGGCCATACTGCTGACACAACGGATCCTTCTTTAGCCAATGAAAGTAACCGACGTATGTCAGAAGCAAAAGGTAAAGGAATTGCTTATCCCTCAAATTTAAATACTGAATTGCAAATTTTCAATTGGCACTCAGAGGGTGTCAGGTCAGAGGTAAGGGCTGGACATGATCGGGTTATTTTAGTAGAAGAGAACTGCCCAAGCCATTGGCCATGGCCCACGGGGAGAGTGGGACCTATGTCTTTTGAGGATCGTTTAAAATGGGCCAAGAATCAGTATGCCTTTGGAAAGCATTATGTCACAGATTGGGCTGCACCTGGACCTTTAGAGAGAAGGCAGAATGAGGAGAATATGGGTCTTACAAATGAGATATCCATTGAGCCAATTTTTAAAAGCCCGTTTGACACTATTCCTGCCACCGTGTATCAGACCCACCACAGAGATGTTGATGCTGCCTTTGTTAAGATGGGCCTTAAAAGAGATGCTGACCCAGGATGGCTGAAGAAGACAAATGAGGTAAAAAGGGCAAAACCTCAAAACGTGAGGAAAGTAGCAGGGAAATTTCAAGCAGGGAAACACAGACTGCATACGAATCTCTCATGTCCAAAAAATCCTAAGAGTGCAGGGGAATCACGGAGGCTTTCTATTGATGATTTCTCTGAGGAGGGCCTAACCGACATCCATGTTGGGGTGGCAAATGTTTTTGAAGAAGGAAGGTCTCTACAACGGGAGAATGAAAATTTTGAATCAAGGATTGGCGGTGGCGGCTGGCTAGAAACAGCCGCAAGATCGCCATGAGTTACTTGTCTTGGAATTGTCAGGGGCTTGGGTCGGACCTGACAATTCGGTCTCTAAGGGAGATCATAAAAAGAAATAGACCCACTATTGTGTTTCTCATGGAAACAAAAATGAAACACAATAGGCTGAAGAAGTGTAGTCAAGACTTGGGTTTTTCTGAAAGCTTTTGCGTGGAACCGCATGGTCAGGTTGGAGGTTTAGGCCTTTGGTGGGACAACAACATGGAGGTTCAAATTCTGGAATCTTCAATAAATTTAATTGACACTGAGATAAGTGAGAAAGGTGGGGGAAGAAGTTGGCGCATATCTTGGATTTACGGTACTCCCTATAGAGAAGAGAAAACTAACTTTTGGAGTTGGATTGGTAATCGTCTTCACCCTGGAGTGATCCCGTGGATGTGCATTGGGGATTTTAATGAAATTATATGGGAATTTGAGAAAAAAGGGGGCAGGGCCTTTAATCACACAAGTAGAAGATACCTCCAGGATTTTATGAATCAAAAGCAGTTAATGGACATGGGATTCAAAGGACAGGCGTACACTTGGAGAGGGCGCAGAGCTGAAGGAGTGTTGATCCAAGAGCGCCTTGATAGAGGACTGATTAACTCTAGCTGGCAGGAGGTTTGGCCTTGCTCCGTTGCAATCCATCTCCCAGATGTGGGTTCTGACCATTGTCCCATTCTCATTTTAACTGAAGGAAGACAGGAAAAGGTTTCTCGTCCATTCAAATTCGAAGCTTACTGGGTTGCTGACCCACAATGTGGAGAAGTAATTCACAGGAGCTGGAACATGAATAATTGGAGGGGTCTTGTGACTTGCTGGAATAAAAAGCAAAGAAGGTGCAGATACGAGTTAAGAAAGTGGAGCAGAGAAAAATTTTCAAATGCCAGGTTGAAAACTGAAAAATTAACTGCTGAGCTTGAGTTGTTACAACGGGACCAGGAAGAAAATGAGGGAAGAATTAAGCAGATAAAAGTTGAGCTAAATGAGACATGGGGGCAAGAAGAGAGTTTTTGGAAAAAAAGATCGAGGATCCAATGGTTGAAGGAAGGAGATTCCAATACTGCGTTTTTTCACCATAGTACTCTCCAGCGAAGAAGGAGAAACAGAGTGAGCAGGATTCAAGGTGTGGACGGGGTCTGGGGGGAAAACGACAGTCAAGTCCGAAAAGCTTTTGAAGATTATTTCAAAGACCTCTTTTCTGCTGGGGGAAGAAGAGACTTGGGTGACACCCTTCATTTTATAACACCGGTGATTACTGAACAGATGAATAATAGTCTTTGCAGTCCAGTGTCAGATGAGGAGATTAAAGAGGCTGCGTTCCAGTTGGGAGCAAGCAAGGCACCAGGTCCTGATGGTTTTTCCGGAATATTCTACCATAATTATTGGGGAATTATCAGAGAGGATTTGTGCAAAATGGTAAAAGCTTTTTTCCAGGGAGATTTTTCAGTGCATTGCTTGAACATGACAGAGATTGCTTTAATTCCAAAGGTCCCAAACCCAGAAGCTGTCACGCAATTTCGACCTATAGCTTATATGTAACTTCACGTATAAGATCATCTCAAAGATTCTTGCTAACCGTTTGAAGCCAATGCTTGCAAAGATCATATCCCCTCAGCAGAGTGCCTTCATCCCGGGAAGACAGATACAAGACAATATTGTGTTAGCGCATGAGGCTTTTCATGCTTTGAAGCTCCGGAAAAAGACCAAAGTCTATGAGATGGGACTCAAGTTAGACATGAACAAGGCCTACGACAGAATTGAATGGGATTTTTTGAAAGAAATGTTGATAAAAATGGGGTTTGATCAATCTTGGGTGCGCCTGGTTATGAGGTGTATTACATCGGTCCGCTTCACAGTGCTCTTAAATGGAAAGTCCGGGAACCCTTTCAAGCCGTCCAGGGGTATTAGACAGGGAGACCCTATTTCCCCATATATTTTCATCCTGGTCAGTGATGTTTTATCAGTGATGCTGAACAAAGCAGTGGGGAGGGGTTTTGTGCAAGGGATCAGATTCAGTCGTGACGGTCCTACTTTATCCCATTTATTCTTTGCGGATGACTCTATTCTGTTCCTAAAGGCTACTGAACGCAATTGCAATGCTGTTGCAAGTATTCTGAATTCTTATTGTCATGCCTCGGGGCAGGTGGTGAATTTTGAAAAATCAAGTGTTTATTTTAGCCCTAATACTCCTCAGCAATTCAGGGAGACTGTGGGGCACATATTGCATGTCAATATAACTGATAACCCAGGGAAGTATTTGGGACTCCCAACGATGTGGGGCAGATCAAATCGTGAGGCGATGAATTTTGTGAAAGAAAGAATTATGAGCAAAGTGGAGGGCTGGAAGCAAAAACTTCTCACTCAGGCAGGCCGCGAAATTCTTATTAAAGCTGTGGCCCAAGCAATTCCCACCTACCCCATGTCTGTGTTTCTTTTTCCTGAAGGTCTCTGTAGAGAGTTGGATGGGATCCTAGCTAATTTCTGGTGGGGAGGTAATGAAGAAAAAAATAAAATCCACTGGATTAGTTGGGCGGAGCTTGGAATGCCCAAATTGGAAGGTGGTATGGGATTCCGAAACCTTCATGATTTTAACCTTGCATTACTTGCTAAACAAAGTTGGAGATTGCTTACTGAGCAAAACTCTTTTTGGGCCTTGATAATGAAGAGCAGATACTTCCCAGCTTGTAATTTCCTTACAGCTAGCAAAGGGGCTCGTGCTTCTTGGGCGTGGGCAAGCATGCTAGAGGGCAGAGAAGTGATCGTTAGGGGTTCTCAATGGCAAATTTTAAATGGAACTAGAGTCAGGCTATGGATTGATAAATGGTTTCCTGTGTCGCCAGACGGGCTGCTCCATCCTATTAATGATGAGTTCATGGACGAGAATGTTCTTGTGTCTGAAATTATTAATCCTATCACAAAGAGTTGGGACTTATCAAATCTCGAGGGTAGAATATCGTATCAAGATGCTCGAAGGATAAAAGCCATGCCTTTGGGAGGAAGTTGCGAATCTGATTAGTTGGTTTGGCCCTTCAGTGTGTCTGGTTGCTACTCTGTTAAAACAGGGTATAACTTGATTCATCCTTGCTACCATCCAAATCATAGGCACATGCGTGGCTCGGGGTCTCACAGAGTTTCAAAGATGGTGTGGAAGCTAATTTGGTGTTCCCCTCTTCCCCCTAAAGTCAAAAACTTTATGTGGCGTGCGGTTAAAGGTTGCCTCCCCACAAAGGCTCTTCTCTTCCGTAGGCATTTGGGATCCTCCTCTCTGTGCCCGGTCTGTGAAATTGAACCGGAAACTATTGAGCACTTATTGCTATGCTGTACTTGGAATTCTAGTGTATGGTTTGGAAGCTTATTATGTTACCGTGTTGATCTGCAAAGCATCACCACTTTTGATGAGTGGATGCTTGGTGCGACTAGCAGGTTGGACAAAACAAATAATATGCGGGTGTTGGTTCATATTAGTTTTATCTGTTGGAGTATCTGGAAAAGCAGGTGTGCTTTTGTTTTTGAAGGAAAAAATGTGTGCCCAAAACAAACGATTGCTTGGAGTAAACTTCTAGCCTTAGAATTATTGGAGGTTGCTGATAAACAAGATAATGGTGCGGGCGAGCCTGCTTCGCAGGAGATTGATACAATCCAAAGATGGCTCCCTCCCCACCAAGCTACTCTCAAGCTAAATGTGGATGCGACCTGGGACAAGAAGTCTTTTATTGCTGGTTTAGGGGCTGTCATTCGTGATGAGCATGGTAATTTCATAAGGGGAGCTGGAAAGGTTACTTTGGCCTCTTCTCCTATTGAAGCTGAAGCCCATGCAGCCTTACTTGGTCTGGTGGTAGCCTCAGACTTGGGTAATGTTCATCTGGAGTGTGAGTCTGATTCAAAGGAGCTGATTCAAAGCGTTAAAGGGAATATTCAGAAAGGTAGATGGTCAATCTATCCAATTCTTGTTGCTTTGAAGGAGAAGTGCAGAAGGTTTGGCTCTTGCTCCTGGAAGTGGATTCCAAGGAAAGCAAACAAAGCGGCAGATGCTGCAGCTATTGAAGCAAAGAGGAAGATGTGCGATGAGGTCTGGATCAGCCGACCCCCATCCTCCCTGGTGTTTGTGCTCCAAAGCGACGGCCTCCCTTGTCCTCCACACGTGTAAGATTTTGGTCTAGTTAGGAGCTGACGCTTGCCTTCTGGGGTGGCGTCCTAGTTGTCTTTGTCCTAGCTGGAGTTTTTTGGCTGTGCTATCTCTGGGTTAGTCTAGTTTGGGTGTTCTCTTTTTATCCTTTGAAGTTTTGCTTAGGAGTTAGTAGTTTTAGCTCCTGTTGCGGTTTGGTTGTCTTAGCCCTGTTTTTTGTCTGGGCTGTTTGTATAGCTGTTGGCTTGTTCTGTTCCTTTCCCTTTCAAAAACAGAAATTCTGAGATTTTATTAAAATCCAATTCAATTTATTTACGGTTTTGCCATTGGGCGTATTTTAACCATATCTTTTTCGTTACAACTCCGAATCGAGCCCACCGCATGTCTACAGACTCGTCTCAGTACGATCTACATAAAAATACCAGCCACTGCCCCAAAATCCTTCCGGATTAAAATAACCATTTTGCCCTACCCCGAAGGCAAAATTGGAAATTCATATTTAAATAAATTAAATAATTTGGTGGCTAAATAATTTAGGGTCGGGGTGTTGCACTGCTGCTATTAAAAGCAAGCTGCATGCTTTTATTCAGGTTTGGCCCTATGATCGAACTTTGTAATCGACCTATGAGTGGACTTATAGCCATGCTTCGCCAGATATTCAACAGGAATGAATTTTCCTTTCCAATTGCAGAATATCACTGAACAAGTTGCTTCTTATATGAGAGATCCAAGCAGAATGGTTAAGCAGATGCAGATGGGCCGATCGGCAGTTGGTGTATTTGGCACTGTAAGATATTAAAACTTCCCTCTAAATTGAGTTCCCAAGGTTGCATGGGCATGCTCAGGCAGAATTGTGCTTCATTTCTAA